GGGGAGATTCCTAACTCCTGGGATCTGCTTGTTCTACAGCTGTTAAGTTGCAAATGCCTAAGAAAGAGCTGCTTGTAATGGACTATGGGCCTCTGAGACCCTCTGTCTCTGTTCATTCTCTTTCAGGGACCCCCTGGAAACCCAGGAATTCAAGGCCTACCAGGAGCTGAAGGTCCTCCGGTGAGAACTGGGAACTGGGAAAAAGAGGAAGAAGAAAGGATTGGTTTGTGAAACTGGCTAATCAATTTAAGCCTCTGATAATTTAGGATATTTCTTTCCCAGGGTCACCCAGGTCATGAGGGTCCTACAGGAGAGAAAGGAGCTCAGGTGAGTTACCTGGGACAAGGTTGAGTTGAGGATGAGAGTTAGTAGGCAGGAATTCAAGGAGAGGCAGGGAGTGGCATTGAGAACCTGGAGGGCTATGGACAGGATGACACTCAGCTTATCCTCATTTCAGGGTCCACCGGGGTCGGCAGGCCCTCCGGGCTATCCTGGACCTCGGGGTGTGAAGGTAGGTGTTACCTAAGACCTACAGGTAGGTATGAGTCACCTATGATCTTAGGAAAATAGTTCCATCGGAAATTCAGTCTGCTATGTAAGAAGGTCTTGGATCTGAGCTACCACATACAGAAGTGTACGTTACTTTAGAGTTGAACAGCAGAGGACAGTATTACAATGTGGTTATAATCATTCGCCTTATTGTTGAGAACAGTTAGACCCACTGGAGACTGAAAGCCATGTTACCATAAGCACACAAGCCATTTCATAATCCAGGTCAGCACATTGTAGTAAGTGGTGTGTTTTTCTATAACCTAAGCCCAGATTTACATAATTGACAAGCAGAGTGATATTAGGACAAACCAAGACCTGTGGGCTAAATAATTCTGTACTATTGACCAAGAGCAGAGCATTCATGTTCATATTATAACTAAGTCTACTCATATTGTACAGGTATAGGTTACTGTGGTCACACCAGTTGGATGGTAGCCAATAATGGACTCATCACATTGTTACATTATAGATAAAGCTTAGTCACAACATAGTCTAAGAGGAGGCTACATTGTAGCTGGCCACACCTCTACTATTGTCCAAACATAGTTACATTGTAGCCAAGCATAGTTGGGCATAATTTAAAGCCAGCAGTAGTTCAATCCAGTTACATTGTAGCCAAAGTGGAGAAAATTTCAGTTACTGTGTCCTTGAGAACAAGCTCTCCTACACTGTGGCTAAAAGAATCACAGCTGTTATAGCTGGCCATAGTTGTGCTATTGTCCAAACACATAGTTACAGTGTATCCAAGTATGCTTTCACGGATGTCTCTGAGCTCAGCTCTATTGTATCCAAGTGCAGTTTTCCCTGTGGCCCAAGTCCAGAGTTTGTTGTGAGTAAAGCCCAGACTTGTGCTGAGCAGTTAGCTGTAGCCAAGCACAGAGACGCCTTGTTGCCAAGCACAGAGTTGCATTGTAGCCGGTACAAGGGGAAACATTCCTTTGCTTTTAGAATCAGGCTGAAGCTGGAATGAAGTTCATCTTCTTTCTTCTGCCAGAAGGGGCTGTGGACACAATGTCCCTGGGAGATGAGAAACAGTTACTTGGAAATCTGGCCTCTCCTGCACACCCCCACATAAATGACCTTGGGGAGCTGCCCATGAAAGTCAGCCTCACGTACACCACACCAGTGGGCTTTGGGGAACAGTCATTTCTTCTGAGGCTTCCCCCCACCCTGTTCTAGTCAGCATTCTCCTTGGACTGTCCTGGCTGGTTTGGGACAGGGGACTGATTTTGGGGTTACTTCTTGAGCAGGGAAGGGACCTGAGTGTCTTTTTTTTTTTTTTACTTCTCAGGGTACTTCTGGCAACAGAGGTCTCCAAGGGGAGAAAGGAGAGAAGGTGAGAAGAAAGGGACTTCCCTTTCCTGGCTGTACCCCTCCTAGGAGTCCCTGGCCTCTGACCTCTATGTTTTCTTCCTCCCAGGGAGAGGATGGCTTTCCAGGCTTCAAGGGTGATGGGGGGCTTAAAGGTGACTGGGTAAGAGGAGCTTCAGATGAGGGGTCTGGGGGCCTTGGGGAAGGTAGGGAGGGCGTGAGCTGGATCTAAGGGAGCAGGAGCGACAGTGTGACTGACATCAGGGTCTTTCCTTTCTATTGCAGGGCCCCCCAGGACCCCCAGGTGCCCGGGGAGAGGATGGTCCTGAAGGGCTGAAGGGGCATGCGGGGCTGCCTGGTGAGGAGGGCCCCCCTGGCTCAGCTGGGGAAAAGGTGAAGTAGTCCCCCCTTCCCTCTCTACCTTCCAGCTAACTTCCTATCATGCAACCCTCTGCCCTTTGCCCTTTCGCTTCTGACCCCAGGGGTCTGCTCACACATTGTGGCCTCCTTTGGTTCTTTAGCTCAGGGTAACAGAGAAGTTCCACACACTTTATCTTACTTGAATCCCCACAAACTCTACATGCAGAAGGAATTTTTATTCTCATTGTAGAGATGAAGAAACCAAAATTAGAAGTGGTTGAATTACTTGCCTAAAGGCATGACCCTAGCAGGCAGGGGCAGGATTCACCCACTTCTTTCCTGATCCACACCCTTCACGTTACAGCCATCCCTCACCTCTCCCTGCTGACTTCTAGGCTATCATTTCTGAGCTTTGTCCCATTATCTCTCTGCAGGGCAAGCTTGGGGTACCAGGTCTCCCAGGTTATCCAGGACGTCCGGGCCCCAAGGTAGGAGTCTGGGGGACTTTGGTGGACAAGAGCAGGGTTCTGAGACTACTTTAAATCTAGAAGTCCAACCTGAGGTCTAAGGGGATGAGCTTTTCCAGTCTTTGAGAGACAATATAAGATGTGGCCTTAAAGAATTAGTCAATTATGGGCTGAGATACCGTCTCTCATCTCTAGCATACTCTTGGTCTGAGACCAGGTCCTCACATAAAAAGCGGGAAAGCCAGTGGTGTCTACCTCTTTTGTTTATTTAACGTGTTGATGATGACAATTCTAAAACTGTAAGGTCATTCTGATTTGGGGTGATTGAGGTTGGTGCATAAGGAGAATATTTTTTAAAAAGTGTGTTTTCAAACTCTCTTAATGTTTAAATAATTTATAATAGTATCCAAAAGTGTGTTACATAAAAATGCTCATGTGATTGCCAGCATTTTGATGGATAGGGCTACTGATTAGATTCAGCTTTCTTGCCTAACCACACCCGGATTACAGCATCGATGATTTATAGTTTCTGTTTTTAAAAAGTAGGACAGGAAGTTAAAGGCATCTGGAAGGAAGGACATGGCACAGTCCTGCATGATCTGGTGCAATGCTCTTGCCCGTTGCTTAATGGGACAGTCATTTTCACAAGTGGTTTCCTTTTATATCCGATCTTTTCTATTTTAAGGGAGTTCTTGGGTGGTGCAAATGGTGTACACACTTGACTGCTAAGCAAAAGGTTGGAAGTGTGAATCCACCCACTTGAATTCAACACTCTGTAAGAAAGGCCAAGTGATTCACTTCTAAAACAATTCGCCATGCAAAACCCTGCAGAGCCTGGTTCTACCCTGACCCTCGTGGACCTCTGTGTGAAGTGGGTCAACTCGGCAGCAACAGAGTTGTTTGGTTTTGAAAGCACATTTGACCATGCTTTCAGTGACACTTTACAGAGTACTTAATGTTCCCAGGCAGCAATGTCCACACAAATTGTTCTTCGAGGTTGGCTGCATTCGTCCCATGCATACACAGCCTCATGGTCCATGTTCCGTTGGTCCCCCGCACCCCAGCCTAGTTTTCCTGACCCTTTAGCTTTTCATTTTTTTT